CTATCTGGGACTTTGGTGGGGAGAATTTTTTTAGAAATCAATTCTCCCGGTATTTGACTTTGATTACTAAACCGAAACAAAGGAAAACTATTTCACTTTCAAACAGAACCACATGCAGAGGCAGGCGCTTGGTAATTTTTAGGTATTTATTTGCTTGATGCTTTTTCCAGCAATTTTGACTGTAATGACTATAATATCCATCTGTTTGAAATGGAAATTGGTTAAGCCACTGGATCCTTTTTGGATTCTTACAATAGATCATCTACCTGCTTTGAATGAAATATGCTAGGTAAGGCTCTGAGGAAATAACGTTTTAGATATATGTAAGACGCGATGGGGTGTCACTCCGCGTTCGTGTTCATTCCCGTCTCCTACAAGGGCGCATTCTGCCGGGAGGCTGGGAAGGGGTAAACTACATTTCCCAGAGTTCCTTGCAGTTAGGGTTCTGGGCACATATCGGGCTGCTAGTTTGTTTTTGTTGTTGGTAGCTGTGTTCAGTCACTGGCTTCCCGGGTGGAGTGTAGCAGCTTCTCTCGTCACTGTGCTCTTGATTGTCAGCAGTTCCGGTGGTGGCCCTGATTCCCAGCCCCCACACGGTGGCAATGATGGCAGCAGCCCCCCGGGGGGCCCAGTTCAGCAGTGCTGCCTGGGTGTCACCCCTAGAGCTCAGCCTGGATCCCCGTCTCTCCTTTCAGTGGCAACCTTTCCTTCCAGCCTTCTTGTGAGCACCTAACTCCCATGTGAAACCCCGGTCGGCTTCCAGTAGCTAGGATAGTTTCTATTATCTGCAGCCTCCCTGGTCCAGGGAAGAAGGCAGAGATGAGGACACTCAGTGCACAAGGCAGCAGGTCTGCCTGAGGAGAACTGCAAGAAGGAAAAAGTTTGTGTCCATCTGACACCTACGGTTAACCATGAAGAACAGGAAGAAGGTCAAGGGCCATACGATCCAGAACTACCCAAATGAGGCCAACACTGTGGGGCCTGAGGTTAAAGCCAGAGCATAATTATAAAGGCTGAGAAATAATTATGGGGGCCCCTAGAGAGAGAAAAAAAAAAAACATTAAGGAAAAAATGACAAAGAGGGGAGAGAAGAAGGAAAAAGAAGGGAACAGGGAATAAGAGCGAATAAAACCATGCATATGGTGGAGAGAATCAGATGCCAAATTCTTCACTGAGCTTGCCTGAATGGTGCTGGGAGCAATCCCCCAAGGAGGCATGCTGCCTCATCCAGACTCAGGAGGCCTTTCCACGGGTGAAATGCAAGCGCGTCAGTCCCGACAGCTCTTGAATAGATATACAGATTCAAACTGGATCAATATACCTATTTGTATATTTCCAGTTCTCCTGTATACATATATAGGACAAATAAATTTGTATTTATGTATATAGGATGGCGGGAAATACGTAAAATACATATATTAAACACAAAATCTGTTAGATTTTTTAAAAAGGAAATTAATCCCAAGGGTTTTAAAGTCGGACACAGTAATGCAAAGAGCTGACGAACTAGTCAATTAGGTTTAGGTTCTGATCAGCTTAAAAAAATGACTGTAAATATTCTTTTGATAATTCAATAGAGTAGTCTGAAAGCCTAAGGTAAGAGGTTTACCCAAAACAATTAAGAGTTCTACTGAGACTGTAATCCTTGATACAAAAGAAAATGTGTCTCGCAGCAGAGGCCTACTGTTCCAGCCTCATTCACAACATTGCCCCTTCGTCAAAGATACCTGTGCTCTCCTGGGCCCGCCCCTACAGTACCTGAGCGTGCAGAGTCCCCCTACGGTATACCTGCACGTGCGGAGTCTCCGCAGGGCTGTTCCTTACCTATTAAAGGCTCTTCCTTCCCCCAAGAAAGGACCTTCCTTCACAACCCCAACATCACTGCCGGAAGCAAGCATTCCTGACATCCCTCCCATCCTAGGTCAAATTCCCTGCTTCTGCCCTTGACATTTTTCCTGCCTCGCACTGAGCGCAAGTGTAATTACAGGTTTACGTATGTATTACCAGCAGACCTGTGCTCCACAGAAGGTTAGGTCTGAGTTTCTTGCTATTGCATTCTGAAGGCTTAGCGTGGAGCCTTAGGTGCCTAGGCAATGCCGAACAATTGAAAAGCCGAGGGAATGTTATTGCTGCCTCATCCCCAAAGTCCAAGTACCCCATTGCAAAATGCGTAACTGCCCCTCGGGAAACTAGGAATTATTATCATTTTATGAGGGCCATACTTCTAATGGCATTAACAGAAACGAGCCAATGACATGTTTAAATTCTATTTTAGAATTTCACTTGGTCACCTCTCCCTCCCCTTAACTATCTCATCATTATTTCCAAAAACCACCACAGGTAACTTCTTTAACCCTAGATAAGCCAAAGGCCTGTCTCAGGTGGAGGATATGCAGATTTGACAGGGTGCGCCTCTAGCTCCCAGAGGACGCTAACTCCTAGGAGTCTAGTGTATACCACGGTGTATACTATGAGAACATACTAAGTATACCAGGACAGGGGAATTTACCTGAATATTCAGTGCCACGGTCAATTACACAGCAACCCCTCCAGAGCTCCCAGGAGATGACACTGAACTCAACACATTTCTCCTTGTAAGACTGCTCACAATGTGCTGACTGCATACTCAGTATTATATACAAATTATTTCATTTGCTTCTCACAGCCACGTCGGGAAGTCTCATGATGGCCATTTCACAGATGAGGAAATGGCTCAGAGATGGGATTCACTCCAGGGGATCCAATGCAGACTCTAAATTCCTTCTTGAGTGGTTACAAGTTTGCCTGGATGGGAAGTAAATACTCAAAGTGAATGATGTCAACTCCTTTTGGATACCTCTCAGCTAGGGGCTCTATGCTACATATTCTCTTATGACATCAAGAGAAGAAAATCACAAAAGCTGAAGGACATGCAGTTGGCCATTTAGCACCGCTATGCTGGCAGACCTTCCAGGGACCAAGCTATACCAGAATCAGGCTCCATTTTTATTCCTTCAGTCTGTTATTTTTTTTTTTTTACGATTGATTGATTGGTTGATTGATTGATTTAGAGAGACTGTGAGTCAGGGGAGAGGCAGAGGGAGAGAATCTTCAAGCGGACTCCCTGCTGGGTGTGGAGCCCTATCCGGGGCTCGATCTCATAACCCTGAGATCATGACCTGAATGGAAACTAGGAGTCGGCAGCTTACCCAACTGAGCCACCCATGTGCCCCCAGTCTGTTCTTAAATAAATCCCCAGCATCTTAGTACTTTCATGCCAGTCTTCTCAGAGCACTTCCTCATTTACCTACAAGTAGAAAGGTAAGATTGCCCAGACCAGTGCTGACAGCCTCATCTCAACAATGCATTATATATACCAAGAGCTAAATCACAATGAGAGCTTGACTCAATTCCTATTTAAAATACACAGTAGAACATCACCATGCAGTAAACACAAAGACTTAGTTGCATGTTTTTCTCAACATTAAGGTCCTGTATATGGCCAAACGGGCTGGTCCTTTGCGCCTTCTTCAAAGCAGTGATAGAGCCTTCATCATAATGTATTTCAAATTTTGGATACTAGTTCTCTAAAGGTGCATGAGAATTATTTACAGTGACATGCCTATAAGTATTCACATGCCCACCTGCCAGAAATACTATAAGCATTAATACCTTCTTTAGAGTCCTCAGAATCCCCAATAAGATTTGGCTTTGGAAAACCCACATAAACATAGACCTAAAATTTACTGGGAAAGCACCTCGGCCTCTCCCACTTGCAAACAGAATTAACCATGCATAGTATGTTCAATTTCATATCCTGCCGGTAAGTAAAATTTTATTAAAACCTTGAACTGCCTTGGTGATTTGGATATATTAAAACACACACACACACACACACAAAAGGACAAATTATTTCCGAAGAACATCACTACAGCAATTGAACCTTTCTAGAGATACACTTTCTTTTGAATTAAAAGAGCCTATGGAGAGCTCCCTTCTCAAGTCTGACCAAACGCATTAATAAAGCAGTAGCCTCTGGAGCGGATTCCTTAGTGAGGAGATGCTTTCCAACTTGTCAAGGGTCCCCTTTAGAAGAAGTTATCTGCACTCAGTGGCCATCAGGGAGTCATTTTCATTCCTCGTAAATGATCCTCCCCTCTGAGCTCCTCTAAAGATCCTTCACCAGCACTGGAGAGTCCTTTACACTGCATTTTCCGTCAGGCATCAAGGACAGAAAAACCTACAGTCCTCCCTTCTCTAAACTTCAGACCAAATTAACCATTCATTAGCCAGTAATGTCAAGGATGCTATATGCTAATGAGTCACGTGACTGATACTACGTTTAACCACTGGAAGGCGTTAAATGCCAATTGTTGCCTGTAATACTGCTAATAATCTAAACCTCAAAACGATATAGATACTTTCTAGCTCTTTGCCCACACGAAATGTTCAATATACATTTAAAATTCATGCATACCAACCGATATAAAGCTTTGCACGCAGATGTTTACAGCCTTACCCTCTTTCTACATAAAGCGTTTGTATGCTTACGATATTTACCACAAAGAACTCAGGTAATACCATGAGCTACACCTACGGCAAATATTACGCAAATCCTACCGTCTCGTTTTGAAATTCCTTCTTAAACTGGTATTTTTGTCGTCAGCTTTGGCTATTTCAATAAGTTCTTTCAGATCACCTAAAAAATATTCTGACGAACTTTCTGGTTTTAAGTTCTTAGTTCCCTGCCTCCTGCTAGTTAAAAATCAGTTCCCAGTGGTCGCTTCTAAAGGGAGAGATACACGTGTATTCCATGAAAACACAAATTCATTTTCACCTTTAAGACACTCAACATGTCCCCTGCAGCTCTTGAGTTCTGATTTACCCGGTGTTAACATCGGAAGCACCTCCCGCAATCCCCTACGGCAAGGCAGGCTCGCCCGTTCTGATCACGTCTAAGTTTTCAAGGTAAACAGGTCACTCTCGGCGACCGGAACGAGAGAGGAAGAGCACGAACTCACCTAGGCGGTCAGACCCCGGGCGCGGGGACCCGAGCGCGCGAGGCGACCTGTCGCGCCCCCTCCTCCTGCTGTGCTGGGGGAAGGCGGGCGCAGGACCGGCAGAACTAGGGTGGGAAAGAGGCTCGCCGCCGCTCCCCTCTGCAGACCACTGTCAGCACCACGGTCGCCGGCGCTTTCCGCACGGCATGGGGGCGGGAGACTCTACGGAACCGAGTAGTTGCAAGGCTCTCCCGGCGCCGGGGGAGAGAAAGCCGCTTTTGCATCAGAGCCGGGGGCCGTACCTGGTGCAACTTCCACCCCTTGACCTATTTTAGAGTGCGAGAGCGAAAGCAATCGGGAAAAACAGACGGAGCGCGCGCGGGGGAGCGGGGCGCCGGGCCGCGCGTGCCCGAGCGGGAGCGCGCGCCCGCCGGGCCGGGGCTTCCAAAGAGAAGTTACGGCGAGGGCGCCGGAGGCCTCCCGGGCCGCGGCTCGGCGGGCAGACCTCGGGGCTGGCCCCCTCCGCCCGCCCCTCCCGCCGCGGCCCGGGGCCGGGTGTCGCCCGCCCTCCTCCGCGCGCGCTTCGCGCGGAAAGCGCCGTTCCCGGGGCTCGGGGGCCTTTGGGCGGGCGCCGCGACAGCAGCTGGGTGACCGCCGGCGGCCCCGGGCGCGCGATTCCCCGCCCCCACCGCCATCCCCGCCTCCCCGACCCGCCCTCACCTCTCGGGAGGCGGCGCTTGGGCTCCGGCAGCCAGGGGATCGAGGCCCGCGGCGCCTCCAGGCCGGGAGGGCTGCCGGCCTCAGAGGGGCGGCGGGCGCGGCGCGGAGCGGGGGGAGTGTCGCCTCCCCGCCCGGGGCCCTGGGAACGCCCCGCCCGAACGTGCTCGGGAAGTGAGGCTCTGCGGCTCGCGCCCGGCCTGGGGATGGGGGTGACCTTCCTGCCTTCTTCCCAGGCTCTTGTCATCCGTCTTTCCCGGCGTGGCCCGTCCTGTGTGGGAGAGGACACCGCTGGGGCGAGTGCACCTGGCCGGCCGGGAGCACGGCAACGCAGTACCTGGGATGACAACAACGTGACGCTTTAGCGCGTCTTTTCTCGTTGGATTCTTGCAACCCCCTACTTCCACGGGGGATGAGCCCACTGGGTGTATGGGATAATCGAAAATCGAAGGGATTAAGTCCAAGGTGCCAATGCCAGAGTTTCCAGGTCTTTTCACTGAAACAGGGTGCTTAACCTGTTAAGAGTTTTGCAAAACGAGCCCCCATCAAAATAGCATCTATCAGAAGGAGGGATGGAACTTAGGTTAGAAGTTTGTGCTAAAATCGGACACATTGCGTCCCCAAACCCCCCCCCCCCCACCCTCTTGCTTCTGTAACAATAGGGTTTAACTACTTTCTGCCAGGTCCTTAGCGTGATAATCATCAACCCCCATTGTAGACAACTCACTAATCATCAAAGGCCTGTGTACTTTAAAAAAAAAAAAAATGCACGTGCCTAGTAATTGCTCTGTTGCCCTGTGTGTATGAATTTGATGTTCCTGATGCCAAGCAGGAGAGAGGGAACTTCATGTTGAGCTGTTTTCCAGGCGTGGTTTTTTGTGGGGACCCTACTATAGGGCTCGCATAGACGCTGGTGTATTTAAGATGCTACTAGGAAGGCGGGTGAAGATCAGCATACATAGTTTGTGATTCTGAAATAATTTGCTAGCGCAACAGTATATTGGGGTAGGGAAGGGAACTTTTGCTTGGGCATCTTTATTACCATGCCCAGGATAATCAAATTGACATTTCCTTTTTCTATGGAACTCTGCCTTTTGCATTTAAAAGGGGAAACAGGGCGCCTGGGTGGCTCAGTTGGTTAAGCGACTGCCTTCGGCTCAGGTCATGATCCCAGGGTCCTGGGATCGAGTCCCACATCGGGCTCCCGGCTCAGCAGGAAGCCTGCTTCTCCCTTTCCCACTCCCCCTGCTTGTGTTCCTGCTCTCGCTGTCTCTGTCTCTGTCAAATAAATAAATAAAATCTTAAAAAATAAATAAATAAATAAATAAATAAATAAATAAATAAAAGGGGAAACAAAAAATCATGAGCCTGATTTTACATGTTCTTCTTGAGCTGGTTGCCAGCCCACTGCAGTGCCACTGCTCATTTTTCTTTCTATTCAACGGAGCTACAAATGCAGTATGTCCTTGGGTGCAAGATATATACTGGATACTGTGATGTTCCTTGCCATTTTCTAACAGTATAGCAGGCAACAAGGCATACCTCAATTAGTGTAGTGACTTGCACATAATAGATGCCTAATAAATATTTGTCAAGTGAATGGGGTCTCAACAGACTGTGATAAATACAAAAGTGGGCTGTTTTAAATTCTTTAGGAAAGCATGAGGGAAATCAGTTATAGGTGATGTGGTCAGGGAAGGCATCCTGGAGGTGGTGACAGGTGCAGGATCTTGATACGGAGAATCGGCTAAGGAGTGGAAGTAAGAAAGTCTGTTTACTATGTTTTTGAGATATGGCAGAGACAGAGGTTCTTAACATTTTGTAGGCGCATATAAAAATCTGAGAGAAGCTTTGGAACTCTCCTATATAAAAAGCAAATGTAAAAAGATTTGCATACATTTTCTGGGATTTCACGGACTGGCTTAAAGCAGATCTGTGGAATCCCTAGAGGTCTGTGGACTTGAGTTACCATTTCCTTGTTTGGAGGCAGGGAGAAAAATAGAAGAGATTATTCTATTTGAGGCCATCATAAGAGGCATTTCCATGGCCACCAACAGCATTTGGGTACTGACTAGGGAAGTAGAAAGAGAAGTGTGCTATAAAGGAAATTTGTACAATAGAGAAGTATGGCACTCCCTCTCTTGAAGCTAGCACATAGCATTTGTATTCTTTTTGTACCTGAGAATTTCACTTTCATCCCTCAGCAAAAAGATAAATGAAAATATGACTGTCAAACACTGACAATTGCCGATGCTGGGTGGGTACACAGAGGGGGAGGATGGGCAGGGTATTGCATTATCTCATTTGTGATGTTGGACATTTTTCATGAAAAAAATTTTAATTAATTTTTACTGTCCAGTAGACATAACCAATTCTATGACATTTCTTAATTTGGCTTGTTAAAATAGAAATTTTGGGGCGCCTGGGTGGCTCAGTTGGTTAAGCCACTGCCTTCGGCTCAGGTCATGATCCCAGAGTCCCGGGATCGAGTCCCGCATCGAGCTCCCTGCTCAGCGGGGGGTCTGCTTCTGCCTCTGACCCTCTTCCCTCTTGTGCTCTCTCTCTCTCATTCTCTCTCTCTCTCAAATAAATAAAATCTTTTAAAAAATAAATAGAAATTTTGTATTAACAATTTTTTTAAAGAAATAATACAAGCATGCCAGTGATGCCAAACGTAAGATTCCCGTAGTCTCACCTTATCCACATTTTCACTTTCCGTGGTCTCAGTTACCTGGCCATCAATTAGTCCAGAAGCAGGTGCTCCTCCTTCTGACGCATCAGAACATCAGTGGTCACCTGACCATGCTTCAGGGCGCTGGGGTCATTCCGCACACCTCCTTACCTCTCCTCGCCATTTTATCATCTCACATCATCATAAGAAGAAGGGTGAGTGCTGAACAATCAAATGTCTTGAGAGACAGACACTACTTTCACATAACTTCTATTACAGTATAGTGTTATAATTGTTCCAATCTCTTACTGTGCCCAACTCATAAATTAAACTTTACCAGAGGCACGTGTATATAAGAAAAAATATAGTATACGTAGGGTTCTGTACTATCCTCAGTTTCAGGCATCCACTGGGGGTCTTGGAAGGTATCCCCTGTTGAGAAGGGGTATGCCTGTATTATTAATAAGTAGAGTCTATATAGAAAGCAGGTATTCTCTTTTTTGTTTGTTATTTTATTTTATTTTATTTTATTTTATTATGTTATGTTAATCACCATACATTATCTCATTAGTTTTTGATGTAGTGTTCCATGATTCATTGTTTGCGTATAACACCCAGTGCTCCATGCAGAACGTGCCCTCTTTAATACCCATCACCAGGCTAATCCATCCTCCCACCCCCCTCCCCTCTAGAACCCTCAGTTTGTTTTTCAGAGTCCATCATCTCTCATATCGTCTCCCCCTCGGATTTCCCCCCTTCATTTTTCCCTTCCTACTATCGTCTTCTTTTTAAAAAAATATATATATATGGATTATTTGTTTCAGAGGTATAGGTCTGTGATTCATCAGTCCTACACAATTCACAGCGCTCACCATAGTACATACCCTCCCCAATGTCTATCACCCAGCCACCCCATCCCTCCCACCCCACCCCCCACTCCAACAACCCTCAGTTTGTTTCCTGAGATTATTCTCTTATAGTTAATCATGAACTGTGTTGGTGATGGTCTCAACAGAAGTTAGACCACTGTGGAACATTTAACAAGTATTCTGTTTCTTTCTAAACATATACTTAACTATATTGTGTATTGCTTAGTTAACTAAATTACTTTATTATATATATATATTTATATATCATATTTTATATCTTATATGTATTATATAGAGAGTGATTATATATAATGTAAATATAGAAAATATGTTCTATCAAAAATGTAGCATGAATATATAAATATGTATAATATTGTCTTATGTATTATTATGTCCTATGTTTTATTGTCACATACGATTATTATTACGTAGCTTAGCTCAGTTCCTTTATTAATTAGCTCTGGGTCTGGCGTGTGCCTCTTGAGAGGCAGGTGGCAGCCAAGGTTCTCTGAGTATCTGCCCTGCGCCCTTCGGAGAAAGGCAGTGAGGGTGGCTCTTCACACATAGGAACCATGACTAACCCAACAAAGGATTCGTGTCCGTCTAAAGGAGCTGTCTAGTTTGTCCTGTGGCCTATAAGGTGATGGCTGGGAGCGGGCCACCAGACAGATACGTGCTGAAGAGGATGAGACCTGACGAGAGCTTTGCCTGAGTGTCTCAGAGGCAAGGCCTGGATTCGAACCCAGGCAGCGAGGGCTCCAGAGCCCCTGTTCTTAACCACTCTGTTCACTGCCCCAAGAGAGGCAAAGACGGAGTTAAACTGAGCCAAACACATGACCGAGTCACCCTGGGTAAGCAGTGGGTGCCTTGACAACTGGGGAACTCCACTCTACTCTCCCTGGGGTGCGTTTCCTCGTAGACCTTCCAGGACCTTCTGAGTTGCTTGTGGCTGTGGAGAGCACGGCTTGTTCTTCCTTACTTTCTCATGTCGCTTCATAATAAGTAAGTAATATCCACGTCGAGAACCTGTTTCTCTCCTTTATGACCTGAGTGGACACAACTGCGTGTCGGCGTCCCGGCCATCGGTAGCACCGCCATGACAGAAAGGGGGAGCTGTTCGCGGCGCCGTTTTTTTAGTGGTCTTCTTTCCTCCTAATAAAACCAGAAGATTCCTTCTTAGAGATGTTATTTGAAATCAGATTTCTGCAAATCAAATCGTATGTTTCAACCGAAAAATTTTTTGGTAAAGTCAATCTTTTTCCACAAGAAATCACATTTGTTTTCTCTGAGCTGTTATGAAAACTATATCCAGAATTTAGCCATTATTATTTTTCACCATTGATTTAATGGACACATGGGAGGAAATGTAATCAATAAATACTAAAACCAAATTATTTCATGTCCCTTCTGCTTGAGATCCAATAGCA